ATGCTCAGCTAATAGTTGTCTGTTCCAGGCGCTGTCCAAACGCATACTATAAATCAGAATCCAATTACTGTGGTAAGAAAATTGGAAGCAAATTTAATAAGCTCAGACCCCTCCTACATGCTGTTTCTTCACTCTTCTCTTTTCAGTAATGAGAACTCTTCAAAGAGGGGAAAAGCTTTTTCCCTTTAACTCTGGGACTGCTCTCTCCACTTCTCATATGAAGCTCCTGGGCCAAAGGATAATGAGAGAGGGCTTCTCTTAGCTCCTCTTTCCTCTCTCCATTGAAGGCAGGAGAGAGAGAGAGAGAGAGAGAGAGAGAGAGAGAGAGAGAGAGAGAGGCAGAGACACAGAGACAGACAGAGAGAGACAGAGACATAGGGGAGTTGATGGTCTTTCTAATATGTCTTTCTCTTTCATTTATTCAACAAACTGATATTGTAGCCCTTATCACACACCAGACACTGTAATAGATGTTCAGTCTGTTTTTTCTCTACAAGGCACTTGACATCAGAACTAGAAGGATCTTTGCTGCAAGGCAAGATGGTCTCCTTAGTAGGAACAAAGCCTGCATCACTGGGGCTCAGTTCCATGAATGAGCTAGGCAGCTGATATGGGTCATTGGCCATGAGGTAAAGCACGAGACCCTGTAGTAGACACATCTTAGGAACAGTGATGCCAGTTGCCAAGAGGATGGCGGAATGAGGGTGGAGGTTGAAGGAAGAGGGAAAAGAGGAAGCAAGAGAGGCCAGTCTATACAAGGCCAGAATTCGATATACCTGGTCAGTGGGAGAGGTACACAAATATATGGGCAGGTAGATGAACTATGCCAGGGCCTCCGCTCTCTCCCCAAACTCTGAGGCTTTCGGCAGAACCAGATAATACATGGACTTCATCTGGCCTAAGCTTCGTAGAGCAGGCCTCAGAATCACCTAAAGTTCTTGCCAAGCCAGGTTCCTGGGGTTCACCTGAAGTTTTCTGGGTAAAGCCTAAGAATGTGCATTTCCAACATTCTCCCAAGTGCTGCTGCTGCTGCTGCTGCTGCTGCTGCTGCTGCTGCTGCTGCTGCTGGTCCTTTGGTCTGGAGAGTCAGACTTTCAAAGCCTTTATGAGTCCTTGCTGTTCAAAGTGTCATCCACAGACCACAGGCAATGCTGTCATCCGGGAGCCCATTAGACACACAGAATCTCGGAGCTGAAGAGATGGCACACTGGCTAAGAGCATTTGTTGCTCTTCTAGAGGACTCAGGATAGTGCCCAACATGGAGGTTGACTATCACAGGTAGTAGTTCCAGCTCCTAGGGATCTAAATCCCTATTCTGGGATCCTCCGGTGGTCCCCACACATGTGGCATTCACTCTTTATCACACATACAGGCACACAGATGCATAAATAAAAATTATTTAAAAAATAAACCTTAAGAAGAAAGGAAATGCTGAATATCAGCTGCCCCTTCCCCACCCCAGGATCTACTGAGTCAGATAGGAAAACATCCCTAGATGACTTGTCTGCCTGTTTAAGACGGAGAAGCCCTTACATGGAGCGGACACCCTCAAGTCTTGCTGCTCATTAGAGTCACTTGGGAACTGAGCAAGGACACACTTGAGTTGATTGGAGTCTGGGTATCAACATATTTAAATGGCTCTCAAGTGTCTCTCAGAAGAAGCCTGGGTTGAGAGCTGCTAAGACTGGGATTTAGATACCAACATATCTCACTGATACTGCTCCATCTATTGCTCTTGAATCGAGCCTGACCTTGAACTCCCACCTTTCCCTGGCCCCACTGCCACATCTGACAGTCTAACCCCTCCATTCTGGTTTTCGAGCTGGCACTTTATCAGTTTGTTTAATCATCTCTGGTTTTCTACCAGCATGCTTGCCATCCACAGAATGCTCAGCTATCATTGCATAGTGTGCATATATATTTAAATATTAACTAGAAAATAGGTCAACACTGTCTCCATATTTTATTTGACCCGTATAATAACCGGAGTACATGGGATCATTATTGTTATTTTTATCCCTGCTTTTCAAAAGAGAGAAAAGCAAGGTGTAGAGAAAGCGAGTTCATTCATCTTGCCAGTTAGCAGAGCCAGGATGGGAACTGGCTGTTGGATCCCAGAGACCCTGTGCTGGCCCTCTGGTCACCCTTTACATTGTTCTCAAATTCAGTCTGCTTTACATAGGAGGTCTGGCCTGCCCTCTTGCTGATGGTAGACTGGTGACAAATATTTTAATTTATCCCTTAAGATTTGGGTAAAAAGCAAGGCCAGATTCACAGCAGTGATTCTCGTTGCAGATTTGTCCTCCAGGGGAGACATATGGGAAAGATATTTTTGGCAATCACAACTTGTTGTGTTGGGGGAAGGTAGCTGTTAGGGTAGGGGGTGCTATTGGCATCTAGTAATAGAGGCCAGAGAAAATGCTAGAATCTTGGAATGCTCAGGATACCTCTTCAGTGAAGAATCATTGAGCCCAATTTGTCAGCAAGATTGCTGTTGAGAACTCCTGACCACCATTAGCTATGCTGGTCATGGCTGAGGTCGGCAGGCCCCAAAGTGAGTCCCAGGGTTCTATTGGTCTGTGTGGATGAGCTCATGGGGCTGCACCAGAATTCATAGGACTCACGGCAGTGAAACCTATGCTGGTGTCGCTAGCCTAGATGGTTCCTGTAAGCAAGAGCTGGATGAGGGAGATCTTGTACATAGCTAGAACATCTCATCACCCAGTGATATGAGTCTGAGGGGAGAATACAGGGCTTCTGTGGACAGGCTCTGGGGTTCTTGAGAACACAAGAGTATCACCAGCAGGGGGCAGCACTCCACTAAACTCAGTCTAGGGCTGCATGATCCAGTTGGTCCTTCCTCAAGACCCTCAAGATGACTTCTGGTCTTAGGTACCCATCCCAACTCTTGAGTCTTCTGATCTCTACTCTTTTGTGCTTTTTTTTTTAACACTCCCTGAATCCAGAATTCTCTGAGCAGCACACTTCCAGCTCCTGCAGGGTAAGGCTGTTGCCTTGAGGCAGACATACGACTAATACCCTTTCCCCAACTGTCTTCTCAGTATCTGGATTCTACCTCAGTCCTCTCTGCCCTTTCTGCTGCCTCCCTGCAGATAACAACTCTTTAACAGATGGAACCCTGGGTAGGTGCAGAGCCCAGAGCTGGCTGCCAAGCCAGGCTCTTTGGGGAACAATCTTGGCTCTTCATTGCCTGCCACCACAAGTCTAGTCTTGGTGCAAACTTTTATTTCTGCTTTGCAGAGGCAAGTGAGAGTGGAGGACAGGACTCATCACCTTCACCTGCTTAGTGAGCTCTTGGTACATCGTCCCGTGGCTAAGAGCGATTGTGACTGCTCTCAGGGCCTCCCACCCAGTTGTACCAGTGACTTTTCTGTTTCCTTCCTAGGGGCCTTCATCTAGAATGAAAACAAGGAAGCAACTACCTGCATGAGACCTAATGAGGCTTCCCCCAAGCCCCTAATGAGGCTTCTCTCCTCTCCCTCTCTCCTGATCTCCTACACGTAGTTTCTGCTCAAGGAAATATACTAACTTGATATTTAAATTTTGCTCAGGGAGGAGTAACAGGATAAGGGCTGGGGGAATTCAAATAGCAATATTAAAAAGAATTTCAATGGGACTCCAACTTTAAGAGGGTTTAGGCCAGTAAGAGGGAGGAGGAGGGAGGGGGACTCTGGTTATAGGGGACACAGACACTGCTGCTTAGGGGGACTTTATGGCACCTTGCAGGGAGAGTTAAATTCACAGATGATGAGCATTAGGAGAAGGCAGGCTATCACCTAGTTTGAACCCTTTGCTGTGTTCATGTGGACACTAAGACTCCAGCTCCGTGCAGTAATGATAGTGACTGACAAGGACTAGCTGAATGTCTCCACAGGACGCATGTTGCATAAGACAAGATATCCAGATTGTGCAGCTCCGCTTTGGAAACTGAGTCTGGATGACTTCACATAGTGAATGCTCACAAGAATCACTAACATAAGATGACTCAATAATTATAAAGGTCCTTTGTGTACAAATTCTTTTACCATAATGTGGGGACCCAAACCAACTAAAAAAAGACAAAATGTTTAAAGTCAATACTGTATACCCTCACATCAACTCTATACACCTTTCCAGTTGAACTGCCTTCGACTCTCTCCACCTCGAGGCCAGACTGCTGTTGGAGTAGGTACAATGACAGTCATGCAACAAATACATGTCATCTCTCTGTGACTCTGTGGCATGTCTGGGCCAGAGCATGGAGGCTTCGAGAGGAAAATAGCGTTAGGACCCAATTGCTTTCTCAGACCTTAGCATACTGCACACATAGGGTCTACCAGGACTGAAGGAGCAGTTGGTCAGGAAACAAAGCATCCATCTTCACAAAGCCTCTTTCTGCTCCTAACAACGCTCTCTACCTGATCTCTGTTGCCCTCTGGAGCTGTGGCCTGTCTAAGCCCATGGCAACAAAGAGGCTGTGTGAAAGGGCTCCTTGGCAGGCAGACAGGAAACAATGTTCAGTGAAAAGGCCCCTCTGAGTCTCTTCTCACATTGCAAAAAGTGCATGAGGTGCTACAGAAAGAATTTCTCCTAGTGACAGGAGAGAGCATAGCCTGAATTCCTGAGGGTTTACCCATCATGCCCTTCTGCTTAGAAAGCCAGGCTGGGATGTAAGACTTGGTCAGGGAAATCCAGGTCCAGTCTTTTAGTGTTCCATGAGTATTATCAGATGCATCACCTAGGGTGACCGACAGGTGAGGGGTAGGAGTATCCTCTGCGGTGGGCTTCTCTCTCTCTTTAACCTCCAAGTAGAAAGCAGGATCTATGGGATGGTTTGTGTACAAGCAGTGTGTAATACAGATACATTACTCCATCCTGCCACCTTCTCCAGTTCCTGGCACTGGGCACTATGATCAGTGAGTTCCCAAATCAAACTCATTGCTAATATGTCCTGGCTGCAGAGACAGGTAAAGCACCTACATGGAAGAAGGAGGAGGTACCTCTTATGGCGTGTGTCTGGGACAGCCCGATTGCTGGATATCCGCTCGCTCTCCCGCTGGTTGAAAGCATACAGCTTGTAGGGATCATCACCAACACGCCACTTTTTGGCATTCAGATACCGCCGCTCATCAAACTGCTCCCACAGGTCATCCCAGTCCGCATCAGAAGGCTGTGTGACATGAATGGAAAGTCTGTGAGAAGGCTCCCCAGCCACCACCGGCTCCCATCCATCTGTCAGCATCTGATCAGGGACTAAGCTTGTTCTGGCAATGCTGAGCTCAAACATGGGGCCAGGGGAAGAACATCAGCAAATCCACCAGCAATAATAATCACATACAGAACAGTGATAATATTGCTACTGCTATCTATCAAGCCCCACATGCCAGGTATAGTTCTAGGACCATCGTTTTCATGATCTCATATAATCCTCACACAACCGCTCAGATGTGTCAACTGACAGATGAAAATACACTCTCATACAAGCAATACATTGCCCAAGATCCACACTTAGGGAGCAGCAGGACCTGGGCCTAAATTCTAGCATCCCGACTCAAGAGACTATCTTCCCGACTCAAGAGATTATCTTCCCAGGACAATGTGAGGATACCTGGTGTACCAGCACAGACCAGGTGGGCCATAACTACTATCATCTCTGATGTGCTTCAAGAGAGGCAGTTTCAAGAATTATGTCATTAATCCACATGGTGTATGGCTCACCAGACATCCTGGTCTTTTGTTTCTCCAGCTCAGGAATCTGCATCCACTCTTAGAGGTAGCATCAATGAGTAAGCAAGTAATAAGCCTACAATTTATGTCTGAGAGCACATGATTTCAGAATATGGAAGGTGACTTCCATGTTCTTGATTTGCTTCATACTTAAACTCTCTGGGCAAAGTAGGGAACATGGGACCCTAGAAAGGCCACCAGCCTGGCAAATGGCAGGTCTTCAGGCAGAGCTTAGTCTTTTGGATCCTTCCAACAGGGGAGGTGAGGGACTGCCTTCCCATTAGATCTACCCCATCAGCAACAAAATCACAGCCAAGTCTCTGCACCCAGCAAGCAGGGCTGAGGAGCCAGGCCTCAGCTTGGCAGCCTCTTCCTAAAAGCTTTTCTCACTCTCACCATGAGAAAGTAGTCTACACCCCTAAACACCCACAACTTTCAACTTCATCTAAGCCACAAATGCTGTGCCTCCAGAAAGAGCTTCTTAATGGCCTCAAGTGGGGTGGCTTAAACCCTGAGGTTTGTTCCCAAGAAGAAGTTGTTCATTCATCTGACCCTAATAGTCAGGCCAGAGTGTCACACTACACAAATCTTAAGGGAGAAAAGACCAGCCTCTCAGTCACAGAACGCTAGCTGTTGCTGCATGCAGGCACCCAAGCAGGAGGTTCAGAGTGGGCTTAGAGACATTTGCACAGGCTCCGTGACAGGTCTGAGGGGCTCTACCAGTCTGCAGACTCATCTGTGCACTGTAAGATCTTATCTGGTAAGTGATCTCTTTTTCTCTTTGTTATCTCTGTTTGAAACAGCATTTTTCTCTAATAGCACAAAACGAAGCCCTGGAAACCAGTGATTTTTATCCAATAATTGATTTTATTAGTGTCTTATGAAGCTGCTGCTTGAGAACTTGCTAGAGGGAACTTAGGTAGGCGTGGGAAACCCACAAGCTGTGCTGTGCAATGTCACAGCTTGACAGCTGTCACCTCTGTTTGGAACACCACCCCAGGGTGACCTTAACATCCATCCTCATGGGAAGGGTTGTGGGATTGTCTCCCATTGGCTCACTGCCAACTTAATTCATTATGATTCTCTAAATAAGTTGTAACCCTCACAGTGCTCTGAGCTAGAGAGGAGAGAGGAAGAGACAGTAGCACATGTCCTAGAGAGGTCCCACTCTGTGTATTCACAAACACACACACACACACACACACACACACACACACACACACACAGGAGACATCTATACCATACTACAAGATGAGTTCAACCACATAAGCTCAATGGCAATGTTTTTACAGAGAGAAGGAAATAGAATATATCTCATAGAATGAGGGTCAAAGAGTTGGATCTTGAAGAATGGGTAAGGAATGTATAGCAAAGAAAGCCAGATGGAAGATAGTTCATTCAGGAGTGTGGTATAGAATAACAGAACCAACAGTGTGCATGTGTGTGCTAGAATATGTGAAGCCAGGCTTGGTGGCACAGACCTATAATCTCTGTGACCTATGAGGCTGGCTGCACCTCTATGGTGCCCATGATTCAATCCCTAATTCTGAAAGAAAGAAGAAGAATGAATGAATGAAGGAAGGAAGGAAGGAAGGAAGGAAGGAAGGAAGGAAAGTTAGTTTAGAGATTATGAAGAATTTTCTCCTATACTTCTTGTTGTGTTTATAAAAAAGAAAGAACCAGGATATGTTTGGTAGAAGCCTGGTATGGTAAGGTGGGAGGGGTGCCTCTGCAGGCCCATGCTAAGACATCCCTTTCCCTTGAGGTACCAGCCATACAATGGAGTAGAGTTCATTTAGGGCATGGAGAGGGGAGTTGAGGAAGGAATAGAGACAGAGAAAGGCAGAGAGAAAGAGGGAGAGAGAGAGGGAGACAGGAGGGGGAGGGGGAGGGGAGGAGGAGGGGGAGGGAGAGGGAAAGAAGAGGCCAGCCATGAGCATTTGGGGAGAGAGATGGGAGAGAAATGGGGAGAGAAGGAAAAGAGAGAATAAGAGATTAAGAAGGTAAGAGCATAAGAGAGTAAGGAGGAGGGGACAAACAGCCCCTTTTAGAGTGAGTCAGGCATACTTGAGTGTTGCCAGGTAACTGTGGGGCAGAGCCTAGAAGGAATGCTAACACTTATGAAGCTGACAAGAGCTGTTGTTTGTCACATCCCCAAAATGCATTTGACAAAATTCCCGGGAATCCACTGGCCCAGTTACATTAGTATAAACTTAACTACTTAAAGGGCATGCATAAAGGAAAACTCTAGAAAACATCTGGGCTTTGGAAAGTAGGTCATAGGGAAATTGACCCTGGCTACATATATGGGATGAAATATAAGGAAGAGAATTAATTTCCACAAAATGACCTTTTAGGGGATGACCTTAATCTATCCTGATGTCTGAACAGAGGTCTTATGGGTGAACCAGCAGGTGGAGAACCAGCCACCCATTGTAATAAGAGGCTGGGGAGAGGGGATACAACCCACCTCTTGGGCTTCGTTCCAGGTCATACTCCATTTGCATCAAGCAGAGGCATTGAACTATGAGGACAAGAGGTCAGAGGATGCTTTCCCTAGTTCCCTCTCCACCCACAGTACAGCTAAGCATCCTCGGTATCTCTAGCAGGCACTGTCTTTTTGGAGAAGATGCTGTGAAGATTCAGCTGGAATTCTGGCCCCAGAATGTAACAGTAGCAGCCAGTTGGCAGGATAATCATATGAATAGTCAGTAGGAGGCGTCCTTGTAGGGGACTATACTACTTAGGGTGTTTAGATGTCACTTGTAAAGAGCTTGCTGCACTGAGACCCCCTTAATGGTGTGACTTTTCCCCCATGGACATCTGAATGTATTATAGAATGGTGAAGGTGTCTTCAAAATGATAACTAAAATTTTATGTTGTATGTGTACACATAGATTGCCACAGATTTTTTTTTATATGAGCCTCATCTGTGCAAGGAGGAGTGTGCTTAGAGGAGTCAGGTAGTGGTTTGCCCAAGCCCATCAGCTTGCAAGGGATATGTCTACTGACTTAATCATCCAGAGACAACAGGAGGTAAAACATGCCACATACCTGTGGAAAGCCCTCCATAATGGCTTACTTCTACATTAAACGTTCACTGACACAGATATTCCATGAAATTCCATCCCCTGGAGCGTTGCTTGCCATGTGTCATTTACTTTTTTCTATTTTGTCCTTCTTGGCCAGCCTACACCATTCTCAAAGAAGGCAGTTCCAACTCCCCTTAGCAAGTACAGTGTAGAGCCTGACCTGTAAGCCACTGTAGGAAAAGGTTTCCATCCCATTTTGGAACAGCTATAGGGTCATAAGTAAGCACTTATGACCAAAGATCCCTGTCTCTGGGTTCCTATCCTTGATGGAAGCAGGACATGGTACCACTTTCATCTTACTGGTGGCAGCTGGGTGCAAGGTCATGGCCTACACCCCTTGCCTCCTCTGTCCTGGTGTAGTAGGTGTGTCCTGTCCTATTTGTGTTACATAAAGGGCACATCTCAGATTTACCACTAGTAGCCTCTCATTCCAGAATTCAGATACATACAGACATCAGTGGTCCACTAGGCACCTTCACTTTATCCTCAGGCAGTTTTATGTTCCTCAGTGCAGTTTTTACCCAAGCCTTGCTTTAGATATTAGAAGGGTTTTGCTTGCCCAAGTAATGGCATCAATGCTCAGTTTTCCATCTGCTTCTTTTAAAATTTTTCTCTTAGGCTTATTTTATATGTGTGAATGTTTTGTCTGCATGCATGTGTATATGCCACATGTGTGCCAGTTAAGGTTAGAAGAGGGCATCAGATCCCATGGAACTGGAGTTACAGATGGTTGTGAGTCATTGTGCGAGCTAGGAGTCACAAGAGCAGCCAGTGCACTTACTGAACCATCTCTCCAGCTCTAAGTTGCTGATGCTTGAATGCATTCCTCTATTGGACAGGGATTCCCTGGAAAAATAGAACCACTCTCATCTGTCTGTCTGTCTGTCTGTCTGTCTGTCTCTTTGTGTCATTCTCTCTCTCTCTCTCTCTCTCTCTCTCTCTCTCTCTCTCTCTCTCTCTCTCTCTCTCTCTCTCTCTCTCTCTCTCTCTCCCCTCTCTCTCTCTCTCTCTCTCTCTCTCTCTCTCTCTCTCTCTCTCTCTCTCTGTGTGTGTGTGTGTGTGTGTAGGGGAGGGAAGAGAAGTTGTGGATGGGAACCAACGTGTGTTAAGAATAGCTCGTGCACTTTTGACTTGCAACCTAAGGCTGATAGCAGTCTCTGCCAGTTGAATCCCTTCTTTCTGGGGGAGGTAGAGGTCAGTCTTCCATCTCTTAAAGCCTCCAACTGACTGGATGAAGCCCACCACACGTTGGAGTAGACTCTGCTTTACTCAAAGAGCAGCAATTTAAATGTTACTGTCATTTAAAACCTACTTTTGAGAAACATCCAGAATAGTGTTTGACCAAGTACCT